AGAACAGAAAAGGAAACAAAAGAAAAAAAAGAAAGAAGAGGAGAGGAAAAAGCGAGGAAAAAGCAAGGATCTAGGGAAAAACCCCGACGGAAACCCCCCGCGACGGCGCCGAGGTTTCAGCGAAACGCAGCCGGGATCCGCCGCCTGGAATTCCATCACATCAAAATCCAAAATAAGGGAAAAAAGGAAAATAAAAAATGAAAAATCCAAGAAAAAAACAGCCAAACAAACAAAAGAGATGCGGAAGAAAGATGGGGATGGGAAGGGAGAGAGGAAGCAGAAAAAGGGAGTGGGGTAGTTGGGGTAAGGGTAAAGCGAGAGGAAAGGGAGAGGGGAAAAAGGAGAGAAAATTGGAAACGGGAAGAGGAAAAAGAATATGGAACCGGACAGGAATGGGAACGGAAAAAAAAAGAAAAAGGAAGAAAAGGAAAGCGAGGGGAAGGGTTCGGACTTTTACGAGACTCGTCCGGACGATTAATAGGTGCCCAAAGAGGCCTAGGGACTCGCCAAAACGCCGATGATGACCGCTCCGCACTCTCTTGATTTTCCTCTCCCTTCACTTTTCCTCAACTCTCCCTCTCATTCTCCCTTTCTTTCCTCCTCTCCCTCTCATTCTCCCTTTCTTTCCTCCTCTCCTCCTATTCTCTTTTCCTTCCTCTCCCCTCCTATTTCCTTTCCTTCTTCCTCCTCCTATTCTCCCTTTCCTTCTCCTCCTCCTATTCTCCCTTTCCTTCCACCCCTTCCTCCTATCTCCCCTTTCTCCCTCCTATTCTCCTTTCCTTCCTCTCCCTCTCCTCTTAATCCCCACTCGCTTCCTCCCTCCCGTCCCTCTCGCCGGAAGACGACCCTCACTTCCGGTTTCGAGACCCGCCCCTCCCTCCCTCCCTCCCTCCGCCCCTGCAGGAGCCGACGACGCCGCCCGACCACGCCGCTGACGAGCAACATTGTATGGCATCCCTCCCCATCGACAGCCGCTCCCTCCCCACCTTGCTGCCGCTGCTCCTGTGGCTCCTTGCTGCGTCATCGGAATCATTATCGCCAGCCTCCTTTCGCCTCCGCCGCTGCCTCCAACCTCCTCCGTCTGTCTCTGTCCGTGGCGTCTGTGGCTCTCTGTCTGCCTCCCTCCCACCCTTCCTCCCTCCCCTACCTCCCCACTGCCCACCCCGTCAGAAGCGACTGATCAATGGCACCCTTAGCGAAACGAAGTGTTATCTCATTCCTCGCCTCACCAGATTGAGGGAGGGAGGAGGGAGGGAGGGAGGGAGGGAGAGAGGGGGAGAGAGGGAGGGAGGGAGGGAGGGAGGGAGAGAGGGAGAGAGAGAGAGAGAGAAGAGAGAGAGAGAGAGAGAGAGAGAGAGAGAGAGAGAGAGAGAGACGAGATAGAGGAGAGAGGAGAGGGAGAGGGAGAGGGAGAGGGAGAGGAGAGGGGAGGGAGTGAGGGGAGTGAGTGAGAGAGTGAGAGAGTGAGAGAGTGAGAGTGAGAGTGAGTGAGTGAGTGAGAGTGAGTGAGAAGAGAGAGAGAGAGAGAGAGAGAGAGAGAGAGAGAGGAGAGAGAGAGAGAGAGAGAGAGAGAGAGAGAGAGAGAGAGAGAGAGAAGAGAGAGGAGAGAGAGAGGCGTACGAGGAGGGAGAGAGAGAAAGGAAGGGATAAGGGATAGAGAGAGAGAGAGAGAGAGAGAGAGAGAGAGAGAGAGAGAGAGAGAGAGAGGAGAGAGAGAGAGAGAGAGAGAGAGAGAGAGAGAGAGAGAGAGAGAGAGAGAGAGAGAGAGAGAGAGAGAGAGAGAGAGAGAGAGAGAGGAGAGAGAGAGAGAGAGAGAGAGAGAGAGAGAGAGAGAGAGAGAGAGAGAGAGAGAGAGAGAGAGAGAGAGAGAGAGAGGAGAGAGAGAGATGTCTGCGTACCCGAGGCGAAGAGGCGATGTCCTCGCGGCGGTGTAGAGTTGCAATACCACCCCGCCACCACCCTCCCCTCCCGCCCCACACCCCACCTCGCCAACCCTGCAATTGAGTGAGTGAGACGCAAGTGCTTGACTGACTGCTCGTGCTGATGTTTGTGTCTGTATGTGCGTTGAGACAGGGCCCTCACGCGCTCGAATAAAGAGTGCCACCTTTTCTCATTGCTTTCTGTGGGCACTCCCCTCTCTCTCTCTCTCTCTCTCTCTCTCTCTCTCTCTCTCTCTCTCTCTCTCTCTCTCTCTCTCTCTCTCTCTCTCTCTCTCTCTCTCTCTCTCTCTCTCTCTCTCTCTCTCTCTGAACTCAAGGCCCTACCAAATGGCCCCCCACCTTCTCTCCCTCCACTATTTACCTTCACCAATCCTTTCACCACCGCCATGCCTATCTTCCCCACAATTACCATGATCACGGCGCCGACCCTCCCACCCGTGGCCCGTAGACCCAAATCACGATCACGAACAACATAAGGCCAGCGTTTGAAAACAAACAGACAAACAAACAAAAATCGACGGCTCCCAACACCAAAACCAACGCCCGCGCATACCAAGAGACATTAGCCAATACCACCGCCATCTACCACCAGCATCAGCTAATGCCAACATGAGCATCCCGACCCATGCCCACGACCGTTATCAAAATGCCAAATTCAAGATCGCGAGCCGCAATCTCCGCCAACCGCCAACCGCTCGGCACCCCTGCAGCGCCGCCGCCATCGTCGCCGCCGCCGTCACATGCCAGCGCCACTGCGTCACGCCGCCTGTAATTGCTCATCTGCGCCGTTATTCGTCTATCTCCCTCTTTATCGCCGTCGCCCTCAACCGCCTCTCCCGCCTCCTGTCGCGGCTCGGAGACGATTTGAAGTCGATCGGTGACAAGTACTTTCGTCTTCAGAGGGGGGGGGGTGATAAGGAGATGGGGGGGGGTGCAGGGGCAGATGTGGGGAAGGGAGAGGAATTAGGACAAGAGGGATGAGGGGCTGAAGGGAGAATAGAATAGAGGAGTGGAGGAAGAAGAGAAGGAAGAGGAAGAGGTGGAGGAGGAGAAGGAGAAAAAAAGGAACAGAAGTGTCAAGGGGAAGGGGAGAGGAGAGAAGGATGGAGGAGAGGAAAAAGGGAGGGGGAATCTGAGCTCAAGAGCGCATCTGGAGCTGAGGTGGGCTCCCCCGGCACGCTAACGAGGTCAAGAGATAATCAACGCCCAGCACAACAAACACGCGTCCGAATGCATACCGAAGCCTCCAAGAGTGGCGCAGACGCATGCAAGTAGGAAAATCCCGCAAAGCGAACAAAAACAGAACACGTACAAAAAAAAAAAAAAAAAAAAAAAAAAGGCGATAACAGCGTGCGCAGAATCACCTAAAATGCCGCCGGCGCGAGGCAAGGAGGCCTGGCCGAAGCACTTGGCGCGGACGTCGAGGCCCCTCAAGAAGCCGCAGAAGCCGTGCCTGTGCTCCTCGCGGCAACGAGCCGGGGTCACGGGGTCAGGACATTAGTGCAGGATAACAGGGTGAGGGCTCGGAACGATCATTCTCTCTCTCTCTCTCTCTCTCTCTCTCTCTCTCTCTCTCTCTCTCTCTCTCTCTCTCTCTCTCTCTCTCTCTCTCTCTCTCTCTCTCACTCACTCACTACCTTCTTTTCTTTCTCCACCTATCCCGGTATATCTTCTTTCGCCCCCTCCACCCAATCCCCCTCACTCCCTCCTCCCCTCCTAGCCCCCTCCCCCTCCCCCTCTCCCCACAAAGGCCTTCTCTTCCCTCCCGTGACTTATCTGGACCCACACAACGCCTCGCCTCTCGATTGCCGTCTGACATAACCCGCTCTCGTCCCGGGGCCCAACGCCCTCGGAAGATGCTTTCACACCTTTCCTCTTGCTTCCTCTCCCTCCCTTCGTCATCCCCCAACCCCTATTCTCGCCCTCTGATCTTCCTTTCTCTTGCCTCGTCTCCCTCCCCTCATCATCCCCTATTCTCCCCCTCTGATCTTCCTTTCTCTTGCTTCGTCTCCCTCCCCTCATCATCCCCAACACCCTATTCTCGCCTCTGATCTTCCTTTCTCTTGCCTCGTCTCCCTCCCCTCATCATCCCCCAACCCCCTATTCTCCCCCTCTGATCTTCCTTTCTCTTGCTTCGTCTCCCTCCCCTCATCATCCCCCAACACCTATTCTCGCCCTCTATCTTCCTTTCTCTTGCCTCATCTCCTCCTCATCATCCCCAACCCCCTATTCTCCCTCTCTCTCTTGCATCTTATCCCTTTCTCATTTCTTTCCTCGCCCTGGCAACCACCTGGCTCACGACCCGCCCCGCGTGCGTCTGCAGCGCCACCTTCAGCCCCTTCCCCTTCCTGGCGGAGAGGGGGCGTGCGGCGCGGGAGCCCTGGCCCGCATCCCGACCGGCCAGGTGGCAGTCACGGGACGCCCGGCGGCCGCTCCTCAATGAGCTAATGGGAATGCAGGCACGCTGACCTTCTCCGCGCGGCTGTCTGGGGCCACGTGACCCCTCATCCTCACCCTCGCTCCCCTTTCTTCTTACTCTTTCTTTTCCTCTCTTTTTTTTTATCCTATCAGCCCCTCTCTTTTCCTCACTCTCATTCTCACTCAGTTTCTTTCTACATACCTCCTTTCTCCCTTCCTTCCCCTTTCTTTTAATTTTTCTTCCTTCCTTCCCCTTTTCTCTTCCCCCTCGCATTCTCTACCTTACCTCAACATTGGACCGTCTCTCTTCCCCTCTTCTATTCCCCCCTACCACGGCGTCCTCCTCCTCCTCCTCCTCCTCCTCCTCCTCCAATATTCCTCCTCGCCGATGCCTTTTAACCTTCACCTATTAACATTCGTCGAGTTGCAACGAACCCAGCTGCAACAGACAGCAACCCAGTGCCAGCATCCCTCTCCCAACCCTGTTTATTCAACCATTCATCCAATTCCCCCTCCTCCACTTATTCATACACCTCGTTCACATTCCGTGTACATGTAGGCCTATGCGTGCCTGTTTACATTTCGCGAGGCCGTATGTGTCTGGCTCTGCTGCTGCTCCTCCTTCAGCTGTAGACGACTCACCTGCTCGGAGGTCTTCCTGAGCTGTTTCTCCCGCTCATACTGGGTGACGAGCTGCTCGTTGTCCTCTCGTAGCAGCTCCACCTCCACCTGGGAAGGAAAGAGTAAAAGAGAACGTTAATAACGAGACACAGGCAGATAATAACAAAGTGCAACGCGAATGAAGATATGAATAGAACAGCATGAATAATACGTATATATAAGTGAAAGATAAAAAAAAAAAAAATATATGTACATGCCTACATATACACATATAAGTGAAACAGGACTAACATCGAATGGGCCAAACACGAACAAAACCCAACGGCAATGAGAAACAGGAATGAAACACAATATCAGGATGAAACAGGACTAACATCCTATAACAAAACACAACCGACTGGAACAAGAACTCCGAAAACGAACGACCCGCAATTACTACGACTCGAGCAAGTGGGGCCGCGACGCTGAACACGAGCAACGCGAGAGGCAATCGCACTCCTGTCCCTTCCGTCTTCAGGCTCCGTCCTCCCAACCGCGAGGAGGCGGACACGGGGGAAGGGCGGAGAGAGAAGAGAAGAAGAGAGGAGAAGAAGAGAGGAGAAGAAGAGAGGAGAAGAAGGGGGGAGGTGGGAGCGAAGGGCGGAGAGAGAAGAGAAGAAGAGAGGGGAAGAAGGGGGGAGGTGGGAGCGAAGGGCGGAGAGAGAAGAGAAGAAGAGAGGGAAAGGAGGGGAGAGGTGGGAGCGAAGGGGAGAGAGATGGGCAGAAAGGGAGGGGAAAGAGGAAGGGAGCGAAAGAAAAAAAAGTAGACTGGAAAGAATAAAAAGAGGAGATATGGCAGAAGGGGGGAACAAAATCAACATGGATCAAAACACACTGCGAGAGAGAGAGAGAGAGAGAGAGAGAGAGAGAGAGAGAGAGAGAGAGAGAGAGAGAGAGAGAGAGAGAGAGAGAGAGAGAGAGAGAGAGAGAGAGAGAGAGAGAGAGAGAGAGAGATAGATTAGGATAGGAGATAAAATAGATAGATAGATAGATAGACAGAGAGAGAAAGAGAGAGAAAGAAAAAGAAAAAAAAAAGATAGACAGATAGATAGAGAGAGAGTGAGAGAGCTTCCCAAGTGACAGCAGAATGCGTGAGAGCGAGAGGGTTATGTTCAACACAGATTGCGCATTATAAAAGGGGCGAGTTAGGCCCAGCATGGCTAGCGGGGGCGGGGAGATTAGAGGGAGGGAGGGAGGAGGGGAAGGATAGAAGGGAGGAGGGAGGGAGGGGAGGAGGGAGGGAGGGAGGGAGGGAGGATAGGAGAGAGGAGGAAGGAAGGATGGAGGAGGAAGGATAGGATGGAGGAGGAGGAAGATAGGAGGAAGGAGGGGATGGAAGGAAGTAAGGGAAAGGGAGAGGGAAGGAGGGAAAACTGAAGCAGGAAGAGAAAAAGAGAAGGAAGAGGAAGTGTTGGAGGAGGAAGTGTAGGAGAATGAGGGAGGAAGGTAGGAGGGAGGAAGGGAAGGAGGGGGAGGATGGAGGGAGGAAGGAGGAAAGGTAGAAAGGATGGTCGGGAGGAAGGGTAAGGAGGATGGGTGGGTAGGAGGGAGGGAGGGAAAGACGGGGAGAGAGGAAAGAAAGAAAGGAAGGGAGGTAAGAAAGGAAGGAGGAAGGAAGGGCAAGAGGAAGGAAAGAGGATGGAGGAAGGGAAGAGGGAGGGAAGAAGGGAGAGAGGAAGAGAAGGAGGGAAAAGAGGGAAGTATGGAGAAAGGAAGCGAAGGAGGGAAAGAGGGTAGGAGGGAGGGAGGGAGGAAGTTGGGAGGGGAAGGAGGGATGGAGAGAGTGGAGGGAAGGGATGGAAGGAAGAAAAGGGGAGAGGGAGGGTAGGAGGGAAAACAAGCAGAGAAGAGAAAAAGGAGGAGGAGGAGGAGGAGGAAGGAGGAGGAGGAGGAGGAGGAAGAGGAATGTAGGAGAATGAGGGAGAGGATGAAAGAATGAGGGAGAAGAGAAGTAGCAAATGAAGGTGGTCAAGGAGGAGTAAGAAGAGGTGGAGGAGGAGGAATAAGAGGAGATGGAAGCTGACGAAAGGGAGGAAGAGGAAGACGAAGAAAGCGGAGGCAGAAGATGAAAAAGAAGGAAGCACGTGCCTAAGAAAAAGAGGAAAAACAACAACAACAAAAAAAGCGAAAGACATTAAAGCGAGCTAATACACCTGAAAACATTCACAGACGCCAAAAATAGCTCTCCATTCCCGAACATCCACCTAGTCTGAAAGGACCACTGCGGATTAATCAAATTGCCACAAAATCAAGTGAATCAGAATTCCAAACGTCATTGTCTCCCCCTCGCCGAGCTTGGAGAAAATAATAAAAAATAAATAAATAATAGAGATCCCAAGACAGAAATAAATAAATAAATAAAACAAAAAAGTAAACAAACATAAAAGTGAAAATAAAAGCAGTACGCAGCAGCAAAAATTCGATATGACAAAACAAGAAAAATAATAATAATAATAATAATAATAATAATAATAATAATAATAATAATAATAATAACAACAATAACAGTAATAATAATAATAATAATAACAATAACAGTAATAGTAATAATAATAATAATAAAAAGGAAGTACTCAGCAGCAACGATTCGAGACACCAAAGAAGAAATCTAAATAATAAATAATAATAAACAAATCAAAATAATAAGAAAAGAGGCAGTAGACAGCAGCAAAAATATTCGAGATCTCGGCGTGACGGAACCGACAGAAACTGCTTAGGGCGGTGTCACGTGACTTTTCGCATTCGTATGAGTGTCCTTTACCCTCCTCCTGAGTTTATCCTCCAATCTCTTATGTATTTCCCCTGAAAAAAAAAAAACCATCCGCGTGTCCCTCCCCTCCCCTCCCCTCTTCGCCCCTCCTCCCCATCGCTCGCCTCTCGTCTCCCTCTCCTCCTCCCCTCTCCATTTCCCTCCTCCCCCCCTTCCTCTCCCCTTCAGCCTCCCCTCCGCCTCCCCTCCACCTCCCTCCCTTCCCCCCTTCCCCTCGCTACATAATCCGATCAATCCGAAATATTCGACTAACGACTCCGCTCATGTCGGGTCGGGTCGAGTCGGGTCGGGACGGGACGGCCTCGCGTGCCGACCCGACCGCCTGCCGACCGGGAGACGGGTGAGGCGGGTGAGGCGAATATCAATACAGCCTACCGCAAGTCATCCAGCTACCAAGTAAACCCGCAGCAGATATAGTTTGGGTGGAATGGCCTCCGTGCGTGTACATTCGGGTAGCGCATACATGTCTCCATTTGCTTGTGTCTGTTTGTCTGTCTGTCTGTCTGCAAACAATAGTTTTCTCGGTGCCGAAATAAATTCTAATCTTCGAGAAATAGAATTAGAGGAGAGATTAGAAAGGAGAGAGAGAGAGGAGAGAGAGAGAGAGAGAGAGAGAGAGAGAGAGAGAGGGAGAGAGGGAGAAGGGAGAGGAGAGAGAGAGAGAGGAGAGAGAGAGAGAGAGAGAGAGAGAGAGAGAGAGAGAGAGAGAGAGAGAGGAGAGAGGAGAGAGAGAGAGAGAGAGAGAGAGAGAGAAAGAGAAAAGAGAAAAAGAGAAAAGAGAGAAAAAGAGAAGAGAGAAAGAGAGAGAGAAAGAAAGAGAGAAAGAGAGAAAGAAAGAAAGAAAGAAGAGAAGAGAGAGAAAGAGACGCGAAAATAAACCTTTTGCAATCGGAGAGGAATGCACTGGAGCAACGCTCGTCATAAGTGAGAGGAACCGTAACACGCCCCCCCCCCCCACCCCAACCATCGCTCCCTCCCCTCCCCCTATTCGCTAACTGTGTGGCAAGGAGTGGCCGGGCGGAGGGAAGAGGAGGTAGGGTCGGCGAGAGGAGGAAGGAGAAGGATGAAGGGTAGAAAAGGAGGCAAGGACGGAGGGAGGGGAAGGGGGCAGGAAAGAGGCAAGGACGGAGGGAGAAGGGAAGAGGGAGCAAGCAGGAAGGAGGTAGGAGGAAGGGAGGGAGGAAGAAGGAAGGAGGGAGGAAAAGAGAGAGGGAAGAAATGGAAAGAGGAGAAAACAGGGAGGAAAGGAGAAAAGAAAGGAGGGAGGGAGGGAGGGAAGAAAAGAGGAAGGAAGGGGGAAAGGAAGAAGGGAGGCAGAAGGAGGGGGAGGATGGGGGGATAGGGGGTAGGTGGCGGGGAGGGAGGAGGAGGGAGGGGGGAGGAAGGAGGGAGGATAGGGGGAGGGAGGGGGGGGAGGGGAGGGTGTGGTGACTGCGACACGGGAAGTACGCGCGCGATGCGTTCACACAGGCCCGTCATCTTGGGTTCAACTTAACATGTGTTTGGCGAAACCAACAACAGAGCACGTAGCCGTGTGCTAGACTTAATCTTTCGCACAATATTCCATCTTAATCAACGCTGCCACTTCGGAATTAACGCCACCCGTCAATACCCTCATCCATGTATTCTAAAGGCCTTGTTTACCTGTGCAATGCTCTCACGACTAGTAATACCAAGTTTTTGAAAAGTTCCTCGTTTCTATCTATCAGGAATAGGCCTATCCATTAGAGTAAAAGAAAACCATTACTTGGGTCTGTTCTCTTACTTACTTATGCATCTACTTATCAAATCACGGATATTCTGCTTAGTTGTAAATATAAAGAAAAGTGAGTGACTGTGTCCAGCAGAGATAGGCCAAAAAAGATATATATCAAATACAGATAGAAAAAAATTGTTTCACATACGTATGTAGAGTACATATACTCTGTGCCTGAGACACTCATGTGGCCAACGTCATCAATAACGGCATCAATAAGAGTTACTTGATCACCTCACAACGAATAAATAGAATATCGAATACAAAATGACGGAAAAAAACAAAGTAAAGAACAACAAGAAATGAAGAAAATGTTATCGAAGTGATCTGATCTGATCTGCATAAACACCTTAAATGAATCACTCCCCAGATCATGCACCAAATCATGTGATATGCTTTAGCCAAAGATTTTAGTCATTTAACGTTCAAAATCAAATATTAATATTTTGACCACCAAACAAACATGAAGTAGACAAATAAATGAATATATTGACATAAATCAGACAACCAAATGAATGAATATGTATCAATGCATGCATGCAT